ATATATATATATATTTTTATATATATATATATATATATATATATATATATATATATATATATATATATATATATATATATATATATATATATATATATATATATATATATATATATATATATATATATATATATATAAATTTCATTTCTGCAAAGAAAACTTTCTGCTGATTTCTGCTGATTTTATAAGCTGAATCAACACAATTCTTCAGATTTTTTTGGAACTACTTAATTATTTTATGTTCAATCTACCTAAATTTGAGAAAACAATTTTTAGTTTTAGTTTGATCTATTTGTGTTGGGATGACATGAAGAAATTTTGCGACATCTAGCATTTCTTTTTTTTTTTTTCTTGCAGCAAACCCAAAAAAAAACTTTTTGTAGAACATTTGAATTATCTAAAGATTTTTTCCCCAATCAACAGTTTTCATAGATATCAATGCAGCTTGACAGAGCCATATTAAACAACCTTTATTTTCTTAAGATTGATTTTCAAGTTCATAAATATCTCGGCAGAAATTCTCAAAACATTTTTTGACACCTAAAGGGGACCTATTATGCTCGTTTTCACAAGATGTCAAATAAGTTCAATAGTATCTGGATGCAGCCTTTATGATGCAAGCTGAGATTGCATCACTCAGCGATACAATGTTAGACACAATGCACTCAATAGAGTTAGTGATGTCACTGTGACGGGTAGGGGTAGGGGTGGGGTTAGGTGAGCCCATTAAAAAGCATTGCATGCAGCTCAACTTGCACTGCAGGTCTGCATCCAGACCCCTCTCATTACGTCGCTGATGTCCCTAGTGTGTGTCTGTTAAGTTTCAGCTCAAAATAAGACACAAATAATATTTTATACCTCTCTGAAACTGACCCTTTTAGGCTTTAGTTCAAATTGTGGCATTTTGGTGACTGTCTCTTTAAATTTAAATGAGATTGTAATCCTTTTAAAAGAGGGCGGAGCTATAAATGTGTCAGCATAGTGGCAGGTTCAAAACAGGATTAATGTAATTTCTACAGACAGCTGCTTCTTACAGGACTGTCTATATGCTAATGAGGGGGAGATGGTCACTAATGGGCGGGGCTTTCCCCTTCTGATGACACGTGCAGCGGGAGAATGTCAATCAAAGTGTTTTTGCAGGCAGTTTTTTCTGCAGTGTGATTATAAACAATAGATTTAATTCATGTTTACCATTAGAAGCTGCTTATATTCACACACTGCTGCCGCACAACTGTGTTTAAACCCCTTATAAAAGTGAATTCTGCATAATAGGTCCCCTTTAGATCATACTTAAAACCTCTGAATGTCATCGCATTAGATATTAAAATATCAAAACAACTGGCATTTGCTTTCCTATTTTGATAATGCGCTGGCATTCAGATATTCAGAGGCATCTAAATACTCTTGTAGTCCTCAGAGAGCTGCGTGTGCCACAAACAGATCCAGATCTCGACACTGTACGTTATTTTCCCTGTAATCTCAGAGTGACTTTTACATCAGCGAGTCATTAAGTTGATGATAATAGTTGAGCGGCTCGGAAAGGGCAGCAGCAGCATTTTCATCAGCATCTCTTTGAATGACCTTCCTGGAGTGGAGATCGGTGGGAAGTGCAGCGCTGCCATCTGCTGGTCAGTACAGGTTATTACAGCCGCTTTTGGAGTTTGCCGACTTCTTTCACTTTCAGTCATGTATTTTGGATGACACAAGCTGTTCGGATGAGATGTTGCCCCTGATGTGGCCCATTTATGTAGTGGGGCATAAAAAGGGCATTCTGGTTAGATGTGTGGGATTAAAAAGGAGGATAAAAAAAACTTTGAATGGTAAAGTATGAAGCTGAAGAACACCAGCAGCGCTTTTATAATGAAGGAGAAAGTGAATTAAAGCTTATTTGCTTCATTTTTTTCATATTTAGTATATAGATTTGTATGCATTTCCTTTCTTTTTAGTTTCTTTTAACATTAAATCCGTATAAATAATAATTAATCTTTGTATTTATTTAGATTTACTTTCATTGTTAAAGTGGCGACGCAGTGGCACAGTAGGTAGTGCTGCAGCCTCACAGCAAGAAGGTCGCTGATTCGAGCCTCGGCTGGGTCAGTGAGCATTTCTGTGTGGAGTTTGCATGTTCTCCCCGTGTTCGCGTGGGTTTCCTCCGGGTGCTCCCCCACAGTCCAAAGACATAGTGTCCATAGTGTATGAGTGTAAATGAGTGTGTTTGGATGTTTCCCAGAAATGGGTTGCAGCTGGAAGGGCATCCCCTGTGTAAAACATATGCTGGATAAGTTGGCGGTTCTTTCCACTGTGGCAACCCTCAGAATAATAAAGTCGAAAAGAAAATGAATGAATGAATGAATGAATGAATGTTATGAAGTACTGGGCTGAAGAACACCAGCAGCGTTTTTATAATGAATGAATGAAAGTGAAAGTGAATTAAAGCACATTTGCTTCATTTTTTATTTTTAGAATCCGCATTTTTATTTATTTTTCGCTTTTAAATAATAAATCAGTATAAATATTTATTCTGTTTTTTGTTTTTTTTTTGTTTTTTTTTAACTTTGGATGTGAAAGAACACCAGCAGCAGTATTATAATGAATGAATGAATGAAGAAGTAGTAAATTAATAAAAAACGAAGTAAATTAAAGCACATTTGCTTATTTTTTTACATTTAATATCCAGATTATTATTATTAGTATTATTATTATTATTATTATTATTATTATTATTATTATTATTATTATTAGTTGTAGTAGTATTATTATTATTATTATTATTATTATTGTTATTGTTATTATTATTATTATTATTATTATTATTGTTATTATTATTATTATTATTATTAGTAGTAGTAGTAGTAGTAGTAGTAGTATTATTGTTATTATTATTATTATTATTATTATTATTATTATTGTTATTATTATTATTTTGCTTTTCAATTTCTTTTTAATGATAAATCAATATAAATGTTAATTATTCTTAGTTTTTGTTTTTTAGATTTATTTTGAATGTTCAAGTATGACTTTGATAAACACCAACAGCAGTTTTATAATGAATAAAGGGGAAAAGGTGAATTAAAGCACATTTGCTTCATTTTATATTTAGTATTTTTTTTGTTTCTTTTTTTAATAATAAATCAGTATAAATATGAATTATTCCTTATGTTTTTTTTTTCAAATTTACTTGGTATGCTAAAGTGTGAATCTGAAGAACACCAGCAGCATTTCTTATAATGAAAGAATGAAGGAGAAAGTGAATTAAAGCACATTTGTTTTATTTGATATGTTTAGTATCTAGATTTTTATTTATTTATTTATTTATCTTTTTGCGTTTCAGTTTCTTTTTAATAGAACAAAATATAAATATATTTTGTTCTTTAACATATCTAAGGAAAAACACAATTGAACTAAAGTACATTTGTTTCTTTTTATATTTAATATCCAGATTTCTTTTTTTTTTTTTTTTTTGCATTTCAGTATATTTTAATAATACATAAATATATATGTATTATTCTCTGT